CGCGTGCAGCACTGCGCCGACGGCTCGGACGAGCGCGACTGCCCGGCCTGCCTGGGCCCCGACTGCGTGCCGGCCGACCCCGCCACCACCGGTACGGAATATTTAGTTACACTCTTTGTCTAAATACGTCTAGGTAGAGTGTCACCATACAATAACAACAAAAATGATTCCAAAATTTCTTGCTTGAGTGCGTGCGGCTTGTGCTTTACACGGAGCAAAAATTATACCAGCTCTCTCTCTATCTCCCACAAATATTTGAATACATGTACCAAACATGTAGTATTGACATGTAACCATTTCTCTGAATTTGATTTTAAAGTTTGTTTATTGGAAACGGTTCGATCAAATATTTGGGGGTATTTTTGGATAACCGACTATCCTGGCTCATTTATGTGAATGCTTTAAGTGGTAGGGTCCGAAAACTAATTCGTATATTTAAGCAACTTAGCAAAATGGCGGACAATACTGTTCTGAAAATGATTAATTATTCACTCTGTCAATCCAGTCTCACTGTATAACAGTGTGGGGTGCGGCTGGTAAAACTTCGTTGCTGAAAGTCGAAAGGGCTCAACGCGCCCTGCTCAAAGTTGCTTATGGAAGGCCTTTCCGACACCCCACCGATTCACTTTACACTGAAACCGGGGTTCTCAGAGTTAGATCACTGTACATACTGTCAACTACTCTGAGATTTCACAAAACCGCTATTAGCACTTGTATCCTGTCTGGTCGTAGGGTACGATGGGAAAAGAGCCGCTGTCGTAAAACAGTCGAGAGAAGGTTCTCACTCACTCACTCAACTCACCCATAATGTATGTAAAAACACGGTTATAAGGTGGCTTCTCACCATGGATTACAACATGATTGAAAACCACTTAATATAGTAACAATAATCAAAAAAAAATAAAATATAGTGATTGGTATTCACTTATGTGACATATTCACCAGGTGAGGTCCAGAATACAACAAAATTGTAAAACTTTTCCTTTTTTTTTTAAATAAATATAATTGTTGAGTATTGTTGACATTATGATTTCGTGCACCTTTAACAACCTAAAATTTATAAAATACACAATTTAATGTAAAATGAAGTGAACTAACACTCCATCTAGACATAATAAAATCAAAGGTCTGTACATCTATAATTATGATTGTATAATGTAAATAGCGTTATTTTGACTGAGTCAGATTCGAACGCGATCCAAACGAGTACGACGGAGGCGGGCAGTGATGCGGGCGGAAAGGAGGAGGAGGAGGGATGCGAGGGCGCGCAATTCCGATGCGGAGGCGGGGAGTGCGTGCCGCTGGCGTGGCGCTGCGACGGACGCGCCGACTGCCCCGACGGGTCCGACGAGGCCACGCACTGCCGTACGTACTGCTCCTGGCGCCCGCCCGCGCGCCGGCCGGCCTTGACTCGTGTGGTTGCTGCAGGCCACGCGAACGCGTCGGGCGCGTGCACGGCGGCGCAGTTCTCGTGCGGCGACGGGCGCTGCGTGGCGGCCGGCGCGCGCTGCGACGGCGTGGCGGACTGCGCGCGCGGCGAGGACGAGCGCGCCTGCGCCTGCCCGCCCGGCGCGCTGCGCTGCGCGGACTCCGGCCTGTGCCTGCACCCGGTACCTGCAACGACCTGCTCCTGTATCTTCGCATGACAGCCTCACTTACTTTCGCTTCTCTCTTGCCTCACCCAAGACGGGAAAAGTCATTTGACGATTTTCTTTAAAAGCGAATACGATGTTTGAGTTTGTGATATGTCCCGCCGCTGGCGCTGACCGGTCGCTGTGTGCAGAGCCTGTACTGCGACGGTGA